TTTACTTACTTTTTATACCATGCACAGCAAGCACACATCGCAATAAAGAAGCAAGGTAATATTGACAGGAATAGTATGATTCCAAATAGTAGAGATACTATTAAGATCTGAAACGAACATATGAAAGTGGTTACAATTTTGATGAGTAAATTTTAAAAAATGTTTTCATGCGGATAATATGATTTGAGATTTTTTATAATTTCAATTATCGGCAAAAGCTGGAAAGTTTAACATCAAATATAAGTGATGCTCACCCAGTTATATTCGCAATGTGTGCCGATGAAGCCATACTGGCAGGAACATTCACCGTTGATATGGTGACATTCAGCCTCGTTTTGACAATGACACACTTCTGTGCAATGCATCCCATAATATCCACTACTGCATTTATTTTCACAGAATGTTCCATTATATCCAACCGTACAGTTGCATTCACCGGTATACACGTCACATGTTGCGTTATGTTGACATTGGCAGGTGCATGTTCCGTCGATATGGTGACAGCTGGACTCGTACAGACACCGGCAGACCTCAGCACAATGCATCCCATAATACCCACCGCTGCATTCGTGTTCACATGATAGTCCAGTGTACCCTACTGCGCAGTCGCAAGTGCCGTTTATTATATCACATGATATTGCGTCATTCTGACACTGGCAGAATTGGGAGCAATCTCGTCCGTAACTTCCGGCGGGGCATGACGTCATACATAAATCTCCCATCAAGCCCGCGGTACATCCGTGAACGCATGTGCCATTGACGTTATTGCAAGTGGGCGCGTTATAGCAATTTCCACATTGTTCTGAGCAGTTAATCCCATACGTTCCAATCGGGCATTCCTCGTTACATAAAATGCCAGTGTATCCCGCCTCGCATCCCGTTGAGCACGTTCCGTTAACGTGGTCGCACCCCCCTCCGTCGCAGCGCCCGCACACACCGCTACAGTCTTGTCCGTATGATCCTATTTCGCATATTTCGTCGCATTCATCGCCTTTGTAACCCGGAGCACAGCCGTCTACACACACGCCGTTTTCGTTGTCACACGTCTCACCATTAAAACAATTCCCACTGCAGTTCTGCATACACCCTACCCCCCATGTCAAGTACGTACAGGGAGTATCGCAGTAGACACCCAGCCACCCGGACGTACATTCACACTCACCGCTGAAACGATCGCATTCGGCGCCGTTCTCACAAAGACAAGCACTGTCACAGTTAGGACCCCAAGTATCATCGCTACACTCTGAAAAAACAATATTAGAACACGGTACAATCTATTCAAACATTGCCAAGTAAGAGATATCTCACAAAATCGCGCGATTTCTATATAAATTAATTTTCGTTGTGGGCACTTGGTCCACGTACGTTGTCATGGTCACAGTGCGTCTCTAGAAGAAGTGATTTCAATAATCTAAGCGGATCATTATAGCGGGAGGATCGTCACCTGCGCACGCGCGAGAATTGAGTCCCAAACGACGATAACAACACACCCTAAAAATGCAAAGGCTCATGGGTAGACGCTTGCTTGTAAACAATGACACGCTATGATGGCCGTCTGACGCATGCGCAGGTGACGACTCCCCCGCTTTAAATAATTTAAAATTGATTGAAACATGTGCAAGGGAAAGATGAGGCTAATGGCTTATAAGAAAAGATGCATATCAGGAAAGAAATAGATGGCTTGCGACAGTCTACAATACATGTACACCTCTCAATAAATCAGAATAGATTTGTATCAGACAAGCTGCTCGCTGATTGTTAGATGTTAAGGTTGGATAGCCAATCAAACTAAATCTTGCGATTCCCACAATTTATGTAACCCGAATGTAAGTTGTATGTTTCTCACCTTCAGTACATGTGGCACCAGTCCACCCTGAGATGCAGTCGCATACGTCCGGTTCGATGCACACACCTTGCACTACGTGGCATGATGGATCACAGATTGCTGAAACAAAATTGGAACGGAACGTTGGCGTTAGGCACAGATAGAGTGACTCTCAATTGTTCACAACATTGGATATGATGACTACCCATAATCCTTTGCTGGAGAATCTAGATGACAGACAACATAATACTGTAGAAAAGTTGAATCTCCAGAGAGTGAAAAGTGATATAAAAAAACTGTAAATTGCATTTTACTACATTTGTGGGGCTCTTACTAATAGAATATTACTGTAAAATACTTCATTTTAGTTGGAACTAATTTTCGGCTGTTCGTATTTTTGTATTATTTTTCAATGTGAAAATGTAGAAAAACATATTTTCTGAATTCACTGGATTTTATTTTCACCGAATCATCTCTTCAGCAAAAATATCGAAAATAAAATCCAAGAGAAATAAAGTACTTTACAGTAGCATAACATTTTAATATAGATGTACTTTAGGAAGAAAATGGTCACCGAAATCTCGATGAGGTCGAGAGCCACGAGATTTGATTGTCATTCAAGTGTTCCATTCCAAATACGAGTCGTGTTCGATTCTTTTCCGGCATTGTATGCAACGTTTCCCCAGCCTATCAAGTTGATACGATGGATGCGATAACGGGGAGAATTGAATACTATATGAGAGTGTGACGTTTTGGGACTACTGTATACATACTTTTGTCATGGT